GTGGTGGTGGTGGTGGTGGTGGTGGTGGTGGTGGTGGTAGACTGTACTAGTACTAGAACTAGTGCTAGTACTAGTAGGTGCTGCGAAACGACACGATGCCTAGACTATCTGTAAGTACGATGTTGCCGGCGCACGGGTCACCTGTTTAGATCTGGAGTGTTCTCAACTTGTCAGAGGAAAGGGGTCCATCCAAGCTCAACACGGGAACCCTGGTGTTGCGCTTGAACTGTTCAAACTGCCAAATCTGCACCTAGCACTAGTAGGGACCCACCTTTGAGTTGACCCATAAGTAGGAGTGGTAGCGGTAGCGGCGATATAGTGGTGGTGGACCCAGTTGACCCAGTTGAGGTCAACTGGGTCAACTGGGTCCGGAGATTTAGTGTGGCTCCCTGTGCGGTCATACCAGTAGTTGTCGTCGTGGTATTAGTAGTGGTTGTTGTGGTGGTGGTGGTGGTGGCGCTGGTGGTGGTGATGGTAGTGGTAGTGGACCCAGTTCACCCGGTTTAGCCCAGTTGACCCAGTTGAACCCAGTTGGTTCTCTGTGCGGTCGCAATGAAGTTCTTGGTGGCTTTCGATCGCTTGGCTCTTGACCTTCTTCTTTGCTTTCAACATACTGAAGGCTGTCGCTTGACCAAAAAGTTCTGGAATTCCCTGCAAAGCGTGACCGAAGACACTGAAAGGGATGGCAAGTGTTGCTATTCAAGACGTCGATCCTTTATCGAATCTTCCAACAAACATGACCAATGAGACATCATGAGACGCATGGCTTCTGTCATGGCTTTGCCTCACAGAATTCATCGATGCCCATGGACCCGGAGCCATCCGAGTCCAAAGCGCGGAAGAAGCGCTTCAGCTCTTTCTGCGCCAAGAGAAGTGGTGGCGGAAGAAGGGACAAGAGGGTGTTAGGCCATAAGGATGGAAAGCTAGGAGAGAGGTACGGAGACTTCGGGGTAGGTGACTGGGTTGGAAGTAAACATGTCACGTAGCTAGCAAGCAAGGACACCAGGGGTTTGGGTTCTTTGATCGAAAGGGCTCCTAGATTTTGAGGAAAGATTACTCATGTAAGTTGCACAGCGTCAAAGCTCAGCAGGCCTCATCCAGGCCAAGCAACAGCAGCTTGTTCTTGAGCGCCTCAGGCGGCCAGCAGTCTCTCACTGGACAAAGGAACAACGTTGGTGGATAAAATAGACCTTGCTTTCTCTAAGCAGCAGGAATCTCAAATGCACCGTCAAACTCTTCAGTGTCCACCTGACATGTTCACCAAAGGCAAAGAAAGTCTTCTGCAGGTATGGCAGCTGTATGACAGCCGTAGCTGGTAGTGTGAAAGGGGATGTCGCTTTCTCCAGGCCTCGCCACTATCATCAGAGTCCAAAAGCTTGAAGAGTTCTCGCAGTTCCTCACAGTATCAAACAAAATACACAAATACCCACGCGTTTCTGATCTGCGTCAAAGGACTTGTGGTTAACAGGCACGAAGTCGACCGTCACTCGGTGGCACTCCACACTCAAAGAACGATTTTGAGTCAAAGCCAACATCGCTGTTGATTATTTGTTCTTCTCCTCGATCTGCTTTTTCTTCTCCTCCTCCGCTTCAGCTGCTCGGTTGGCCTCATCTTCCTGGCGTGAATGGGGAACGATTCTATACACCATTCCATATAGATTAGGAAGTGTTTCTTCCCAATTCATGCGTCTCAAATCAGGGGCCCTCCACACTCACAATCTTCATGGAGTTGTCGCAGATCACGGCCGTGACCAGATTGAGAATCACATACTGTGAAAGCGCCTCAGAGCGGCAAATGGCTTAGCGGCCAGGGAAAACAAAAGGAAGGGAAGAGAAGGGAAGAGAAGGGAAGGGAAGGGAAGGGAGAGTGAGCACGGGGCGGACCCAAAAACACTGGATCGATTAATGGCCTTGCACCACCACCCACAGAATCAAGGAAAAGCAATCTGTCAATCCTCACTGGAGTTGAACAGTTTCAAACATTTGATGACAACTAGCCCAAATATACCCTTGCAAAACCACAGACTGCTTCACCTGAAGGACAAGTGAGTCGATTTCATCAAGGCAATCACTGTCCAATTTCTTCAGTGCTAGATCCACGTGTTGGGCTGGGTATGTGCCTTTGCGTTCAACCCTCCTTGCCTCGAATGCAAAAAGGAAGATCCAAATGTAAGGCTGTCCCTGACACGCGCGAGAAACGTTGCATATGTCTTTCAAGAAGATCACAAACCAAAAGTCTTTACATGGATGACTTGCCCGTACAACATCACTTCCTCGCATTGATCAAACTACCATGAAATTGCCACGCCCTTCCTCCAATTCTCATCTATGTTCCTCGAAAGAGCACGGCCTCCGTTGGGTAGGCGCTATCATCCTCCTTCACCCATGGTACCTGTCAGCACTTGCCATCAGATTCTATTGGGTGATTCGTTGCCTTCTTTAGTAGCGCTCATGTGCCACTCATGTGTCGGATCCGGCCATGCAAGGCCTCAAGTAATTCGCCAAAATGTCACACGTCGTTTCTCCTACACCACTCAATGGTAGGACCACGAGGTATCAAAGTCGAGTGCCAAAGCTGACAGCCTGCATGAGGTATTCGACCACGTCCATGGCACCATCAGAACTGCGCAAGAGCGGCGGTTGCTGGCTTGACTGAAAATGACCCAGAAGGCACGACTTGGACTGGTGCAACCATTTTGAAGAACACCAAGTGTAAAGAAACGTTGACGCAGTCAAGGACAGTAAGGACAGTGACGTGGGTGAGATTCGGTTTCACCAGTTGCAACGCCTCATGAAGCGACTCATTGTGAACATCGAACTGCCTCGGAAAGTGGTGCAAGATGTTGCAAGGTCTAATTGTTTTCGATGTGTCTTTTGAAATCTCTTCTATATCCAACCGATTAGTAGTGGCCTCCAACCTAGAAGCGATGGGCGAAGGCCTCAAACCTAGACGCAATGGCCTCTAACACCTGCTGTTGATGTCCTTTCAAGCCAAGGTGCGGAGGCTGATGAACCAACGAGGAATGGCATCCTCCCAGAAGGGACAAGGCTTGAAGCACTAGTCAGTAGTGTTGTCGTACTTTACTTCTACAAAGGAGAGAAGATCAGATTCCTCTGGCTGGTAGGTCCAGGCATCGGCATAACCAATGAGATCAACCTTGGATTCAATCTGTGAGCATGCATCAACAGCCCATGGCACTTGAGGCCAAGGCAGCAATGATGCTGAAGAATAGCCTACACAAACAGTTGCGTGGAGTCGATGCACTTTGAATGAGGAATGAACAGTCATCACCTCCCAAGAAAAACAAAGTCAATGTGTTCAACCAATATTGAATTCAAAGGAAGCTGAAGGGTAGATTGCTGTACCAGCCAGCAAGGTGCATGCATTATCTTGCATGTGTCCTGGTTTCCTAAGTGACTGTACATGACTGTACTAACTGTCCACACAATTGAGGCTCGCCCTGTTGTTCACCCGCAGTGCGTACACTGATGTGGCCAATAGCAGGCAAGACCAGAATAGTGTTCCCGCTGATGCAAACCTCAACTTCGACTTCATGGAATGTCGAGATCTGTACGCGCCTTTGTCTGAAAACTTGATCTTCAGTCTCTGCGTCTCTCAGTAAAGGTCATCTGTCCACGACGATCATGAAAGTTACTGAACCACAAGCCATCAATTGCAGCTCCACATCTCAGGCCCGTGCAGGCCAGAAAGAAGTAGCCAAATGACTTTGAAGCCCTGTGCCGGCTCGCGTATTCTGCAGCAATGGCAATCCGAAGGTTGGGATGTTTGCAATTTGTGGACTTCGATGGACTTTATCATGAGCAGCTGCAGGACACGCTTCTAGTGACGAGTGTCATTGGCTCAAGTTACACTTGCTCGACATTAGGGTCTGCTGTGTCCGCACATCGACATCAAAACGATCGACACATCTCAGTCAAGTTTCCCTAAAAATCTAGGAACCAAATCATTTGTGGGAGCGCTTCTCAAGGAAGCGTGAGCTATCCTGCGTCCAGTAGCTAGGAGCGAACTAGTCTCCCGGCCCTTACTTAATTTATATAATTAAGTAGGGAGCTCGGGCTAAAAACACTTTTTGCGGAAAAAATTGCGCCAGGCCTTGACATTCTTGATCGTGTGGATGGCCTTGCCAAATCTGAGCAACCTGCCGGGTCAAAGTTCGACATCGTCATCAAAAAAGAAAATGCCAAAATGGATTGGACGGACAATGACGCGGACAATGACGGACATAGTATTGGAGCAGAATGGAGCCAGAAATCCAGAACGTGCAATCCCCCGCCATTGCCTGAGAACTATTCGAACCTGGGTTCAGGTGAGATGTGAAATCGCATGTTGTTGCCACCTGCTTGCTGACTACAAGCAGATCGGTTGTAGCTCTATTTCTTTGCAAACACAAATATGCCAGAGCTCCAAAGTATGTTGTTGGACACCCTTGCCACAAGAGATGCTCCCACTCTGTGGCGCCGAACTATTTCTACTGTGTCACCGAAGGCGGAGAGAAAGAATGGCGCCCATGCCTGAGCAGAGGAAAACCAAAAAAGAGCCCTTGGGCAAGTGCTTGGAATGCTGAACCCGTGCCCTCTGTCTATTTCTGCTCTACATCTCGACTTACTTCACAGGTTTCAGGAAGCCCCACTGCAAAAGTGAAGCCAATGTTCAGCGTCTCCTGCCCAAGGGGACTAAGCCAAGCCTCAAAACCGTACCACTTAAATTGACAGCTTCGGATGCTACCAGATGCTACCAGCTCAAGTCCTTCAGCCAGAGGCCGCCACCCACAATAAAACGAAGAACCTGGCAGGCTGAAGATCTCAAGCCCCTTGGGAAAAGGAGGGGCGGCATGGAAGAGATCACCTGTGGCATTGCGGATGAATCATGGCAAGCTGCACCCATTCTCCCAGGAACAAGCAATTCACAATCCACATGATGGGATCAATCCACCTGAAGTCCGGCATCCAAGTCTTCTTAATCAATCATTGCGCAACACCTTTCATCATGCTTCCCAAGGTTGGCTTTAAAGAGTTGAACAAAATATGCTGTGATGATCTGTGATGATCTGTGATGTAAATCTGCAATCGTGCTAGCGCGTCACATCATTTTGTCCCCTAATGTGATCCTGGTCGCAAGTCTCGACACCCTATCCACATGGAGGCCTTCTGAGTGTATACGGAGATTTCCCATAGACTTATCTGCATGCTGTGACTCGGTGTTGGACGCTGGTTTGGGTGTGCCACTATTGGGATTCCAAAGCTCTGCCTGGCAGACTTCGAATGCCAGTCCAGACTTGGCATTGAGAAGAAATCTGGCTTGCAAAGTGTCAGCTGCAAATCCACCTTGTTTGATATTCGCACCATCTACACCTGAAAACCTCTACAGTATCAACTGTGAAAAGGCAGGCTAGGCTCAAGCATCATCCGAAACACCATCATGCCTCCACCCCCATGATGATGGCACTGGCCAGGATAACCATCGTAGTCTGGCAAGTCAGCGTCGCAAGCCAAAGCCACAATTGAAAAACGTTCAAAACTCGGAGCTTGCAAACAAAGACGTGGAGGCTCAGCACCAGACGAACAGGTCAAAGTACTTGTTCTTCACGATCGGCCGCAAGATCTTCCGAAGCCTTGTGCATGGGAATCTTCTTGGTTCTCAGTCATTTTATCAATGCCGCGCCTTCGAAAGGTCCTGTTGTAGCAGGTGTTGTAGCAAGGCCGAAGCCATCGTGGAACGTGCAGGCTCTTCCTGCCAAGCCGGAAGAATAACGACTTTGGATCATTTGCCTGACCCGAATCTGCCTCGCAATGGTACCCGCCGAAACATCGTTGGTGTGAGGGGCTTAAGAAGCGGAGGCTTCCCCTGTTTTGAGATGCGCCCCTCAGATCCAGTTGGTATATCTGGATTGCGTTCTCAGTCCTGCTCTTGGGCTCCTGCGCACAGATTCGATAGTGAAGGAACTTGGGAAGGTGCTCGCAAGTTGTGGTCAGTGGGTACATGAATGAGGATGAAAGCCAAATTCTACAAAGATTCGCTTTTGGGTAGTTGACGGAATTATGCGGAATTCAATTGTAGCTACCACACTTTTCAGCGAAGCAAAGAAGCAAAGATCGTCTCCTTGAGATCATAACCTCAGGTAGAGCCACATGACTCATAAAGAGAGCGATTGTTGGACACCAGTCTAGAGGTAGAGGTTAGTCCAGTTTCCCACAGTACAGAACTGACTCTTGTCATACATCATACCATCCCATACATTCTGGCACGTACAACTTTGGGATGGGAGCAAAGTCGATACAGAGAAGGTGAGTGTTGGAAAAGTACTGCAGTGTATAGGACACAGTGTGTTATTACTTGCAGCATGTTGCAGCTAAAAGGCCTATTGCGTCCTCCAGTGCATCTGCAATGGCCTTACAGCATTGCTATGCTCCAAACAAGCAACAATTTATCACAGTAGCTGTGTTGCAAACCCACAGACAAAGCTCTTGAGACACTCAAGCATAAAAGCCTGGTCTTCAGCATCGGCTTTGGCCTCTGCCTGAGTCATGCAATCAATCACGAAACGTGCCCTATATACATGGTGCTTCAGTGCAATGGCTCCTACTCAATCGAAGAAGACCTAATAGCTAGTTGACCAACAATTGCTTTGTTGTTTAGCATACTGTAAATATATATATATAATACGACTACAAACATATATATATATATGTGCGTTTTAATACTACTACATTACATGGAGAACAAATCAGCATAATTCCTTCGCCGGCACCATGCCTCTTGCAGGCGGGATTTCCTTGCCGCTTGTGCCACCGTCAGCATGCTATAAACACGGCTACACGTGTTCTTGTGTTTCTTGTGTAGGGACCCAAGCATATCATCTAGCACAACACATGCGAGGTAAGGAGTACTTGACAGCAACGTTTGGCACTTCAATTCTTGCAGCCGAGCGGAATGCCCCTTTATGCCATTTGCTTCTGAACTTCTACGCTCCATCCATACACGAGTGGCTACACCAAGATAGGTGGCTTCAGGACCACATTATGGCTGAAAAGTACTCTGGATATTGAAATTTCTCAGGAACATAGCACAGCGTTAGACGCTGCTCCTATTCAATTCCAGTTCAGCATTCTCTGTCAAAAGGATTCACTCCTTTGTTCCTCTGCGCGCACAGTGATGCGTTTCGCCTGCAGCTGCAAAAAGGCACCCGGCCACAAATTTCAACACGGGCACCTTTAAACCATAGAAGTAACCTGTCCTGCTGCCTGCTTCATGGCAACAATACACAGGAACGGGTCGGCATTTCCTGATACTATTTTGACCCTGCACCAAATGCCCTGCCTTTTCACTGTCCATGGTACCCATGCCGGGTACCCGGTGAAAGCGAGGCTGAAAATTCTCACAATAGAACGTAGAACTTGGCTTGGAAGAGGTGTTAGAGAATGCATTCTTGATGCAACCATACATATGTCAAAGCTAGATTAAAATGGTTCAAACGCGCAGATAATTTGCTTGGATGCACCAATCTACTGCTAGCTAAGATGTCTGCAGCAAAGGTGAGGCATGCAACCGGACGCTGCAAAGCTATCCGAACTGATCGGTGACTCTTTCGAACTGTCGCTGGAAGGACACTCACTAACTTACTTTGATCTGCGCATAAGTGGGCGTGTAGCTTCTGCAAACAACTATTACTCAAAACGTTGACCAATTAAATGGTCGCAAAGCTTTGCTGGGAAAACAAAGGAATCCAGGATCTCAAAACACCAAAACGGCAAGGGCACCAGCTGACAGGTGCCGACTGTATGAAGCTCTCCTGGCCAGCGGAGGACACCATGATCGCGAGTTGAACATTTTCGAGTGAGACTCGCTGACCCTTAAAGTCTCCATCACGTCTCCATTCGCTACCCAAACCGAGTACTCTCCTTACTTCCTCGCTTTCGACTCCAAGCCAAATCTTCTGGCAGCCCATACCCTGTCACTCCTTTTTTCCTACTCTTTTTTGTCACTTTTGTCTTGGCTCGCGGTCGTCTTGGGCCCTCTGCCCTTGCTGCACTCACTTCATTCGGCCCATCTCGACCTGTCTGGAGCATCTCCTCTAGGCGCTTTCGGCGCTCGGTGCGAGGGAAAAAACTCCAAGCCACGACCCACTTGACATTACGGCCCTGTTGCAGCTCGAAGCGGCGACGTTTTGCGCCCAGCTCCCCCAAGCGCTCAAAGATGGGCTGCAAGGAGGAGTGCCTGACAGGACATGTGCATTGAACCAAACTGTGCACGCGTAGTATTACGATGTCATACAAGCATGTGTATACATATATATATATATAAGCAAATGAGAATACGTCCTATCGTTCCAGCCTCAGTAGGTGAAAAATTAACAGATTTTTAACCGTCGTATAATTAGCGATGCCGATGCCTAGAGAAAAAATTGTAAAGATTGTCCGTCAATAAATTCATATATTATAAAGCCTTGTAAACCCATTGATGATAGGTCTAAAAACTACAGCTATAGTTCTAGTGTTAACTGGCGTAACAAGTTTGAATGTAGGATACAAAAAAATATACGATTTGGATTTCAGATTTGTGTCGATCTTTGACTGTTAATATATAGGAAATCAACACTACAATCCAAATAGAAGAGGGGAGTCTATTGACTGATATGAGTGTGCGCTTGAAAGACAGTAAAATAAGAATGAGGGAGCAATTTCATAAGAGATCACCTCCAAAATCTATAAATACCCTGCCTGACGACCACCTGGGAAGGGAGGGGACGAAAGCCAGCCCTCGTAGACAGTGAGAAGAACAAGAAGGAATTGGTGTTCGTCAGCAAGATCATGGTGTCTGCAATTGGAAATTGTTGTGATATCTGATAGTGCGAAGTTCAAAAATCTGCATTCCTGGTAGACTGTCTTACAGGCAGAGCAAGCATAATCTTTCAACGTATGTTCTTTACAGCTGCTTGGGAAGACCCGGCTAGATCCCAAAACATAGCCCTCCGTTTCTGGTGCCTTGTTTTCTTCCCCAAGCCTTCGATAACGTCTCTTGAAAGGCTTAGATGGTGTTGTATGTCCACTTGCATGGTATCGTGGTGCCTTGGTGAGGCAAAAAGTGCAATATTGCACCTGTTTTGGCATCGTTCGCATCACCAAGGCCCTTACAGAGGTGCATTGTGGCCACCCCCTTTTGCTCACTCTCCCTCAGGCTCTGGGTTCACCCTACTGCCAGCGCCCACCACGCGACCACCCCCTACACACCCCATAATACTCACTTCGTTCGCCCATCGAGCACAGCCTAACCTATCGCCTGGCCTTCGTAAAAATATATTAATGGGGTTTGAGGGATTGCTTGGTCTCACTTGGCATGATTTTTCTAGGCTATATTCAAGTTATGTTGATAAGAGAAAACAATGCCCATAAGATAAGAAATACTACAAATTGTGTGATGAAGAGAAAACCAAAGGAAAGAAATTAGCCATCATAAATCATAGCCCTTATAATCACCTCTGTCCGTTATCGTTCACCTCTAGATCTAGGATGTGATTGTAAGGATTAAAACCATAAATTTACATTATTCACGTCTGTCCATTTGATTGTTTTTTTATGTTTTTTTGGGTGTCATCAGCTTATTTGTAGTTTGCTGTTAATCATTGAACAATAAGTTCATTTCATTTTAGGTCCACCATTGTCATATGTGATTAATGAGAGATTCATTAATAAGCTATTTATTAAACAGAAAACGACGTTATGCGGGTGTGGTTTTTACGCGTGGTTTTACGCGTTTTTGTGATTTGTGGTTTTCTGTGTTTTTTTGAAAATGTTAGTTGTTTTGAAGAACGTGTCTAGCAAAAATGTCGACTTGTAGTCTATCAAATTTCTCATCAATCTGATTCAAACATACTAGTTCTCATTGATTCCCACACAGAAGTCCATCAAGCATCATCTATCAGCAAGTCCACGACATCCCATCATACAACATCAGGACATCACCTCTATGAGGGAGATCTGGTCTCTAAGACCTCCAATCTCAATCAGTCCTCAATCTCCAGCAACTGGGGCCTGGGCCTGGGCTTCTCTAGGGG